TATGACAAGAAGAAGTAGAAATCTAGTAACTTGCTGTAATCCTGCAGAAGCAGATATAATCTTGTTCTCTGGACTAAGAATCACCTTACAGCAGAAGCTGAAAGGCCCTCTGATTTTCCAAGAATAGAAATTGCTCCAAGTGAAATGGTGGTTTATTAGACTGAAGCGATATAAAAATGGTTCTAGGTGCCGGGCGCGGTGGCTCATGCCTATAATCCCAGCACTTTGGGAGGCCAAGGCAGGCAGATCACAAAGTCAAGAGTTTGAGACCATCCTGGCCAACATAGTGAAACCCGGTCTCTACTAAAATACAAAAATTAGCTGGGTGTGGTGGCATGCACTTGTAATCCTAGATATTCGGGAGGCTGAGGCAGGAGAATCGCTTGAACCCGGGAGGCGGAGGTTGCAGGGAGGTGGAGGTTGCAGCAAGCCGAGATCACGCCACTGCACTCCACCCTGGGTGGCAGAGTGAGACTTCGTCTCAAAAATAAAAATGTTCTTGTAAGTATCAGAAAGGGAAGATTTCTACCAGAGAGAACTTAAGTGCCCATAGAAGGGGTTTACACTTTGTTCTGAAGACATTCATGAGCTGCAGAAGAGGAAAGTGCCATAATCATCTTCTGACAATATAAGTCTATTGTCATTCATTAAACGGGACAATGAATGAAGGATAAGTGGGCATCACACCTGAAAATTCAACGTAAACTTCTCTGCAGTGTGGAGAGAAATCTTAACATGGGAGTTGGGGGATGCCAGTTTCACGGGACCAGACACAGAGAGGATGCTCAAAATGTGTGTTGAAGCAGGTACAGAAATGAGTGTCTGAGCACATGTGCCCAGTCATAACCGGAAAAACTAAGGGAGATGTTGTTTCTTATGTATCTCTGATATTTCCTCCTATCTTCCTTGGCAGTTGCTATGGTTTGAATCCATGCCCCAAAGTTCGTGTGTTGAAAAGTTAATCCCCAATGCAGGTGTTTCAAGGTGGGGTCTTATAAGGGGCGATTAGGTCATGAGGGCTCTGCATTATAATCAGATTAGTAATGTCATTCTCTTTTTTTTTTTTTCCAGGTAGAAACTTTAAAGTAACTTTTATTAACATATAAATTTTATATTAACTGTATTTTACCACAATTATTTTTTTGAGATGGAGTCTTGCTTGCTTGCCCAGGTTGGAGTGCAGTGGCGCCATCTCAGCTCCCTGCAACCTCAGCCTCCCGGGTTCAAGCGATTCTCCTGCCTCAGCCTCCTGAGTAGCTGGGATCACTGGTGTGCGCCACAAGCCTGGCTAGTTTTTATATTTTTAGTAGAGACGGGGTTTCACCATGTGGGCCAGGCTGATCTTGAACTCCTGACCTCAAGTGATCCACCTGCCTTGGCCTCCCAAAGTGCTGGGATTACAGGCATGAGCCACCACATCGAGCCAGCAGATAAATGTCCTTTTCATTGGAGTGAGCTAGTTATCATGAAAGTAAGATTGCTGGCCGGGCGCGATGGCTCATGCCTATAATCCTTGCACTTTGGGAGATTGTGGCGGGTGGATTGCCTGAGCTTAGGAGTTTGAGACCAGCCTGGGAAACACAGTGAAACCCCATCTCTACTAAAATACAAAAAATTAGCCGGGCGTGGTGGCGTGCACCTGTAGTCCAAGCTACTCAGGAGGCTGAGGCAGAAGAATTGCTAGAACCTGGGAGGCAGGGGTTGCAGTGAGCCGAGATCGTGCCATTGCACTCCAGCCTGGGTGACAGTGTGAGACTCTTGTCTCAAAGTGGGGAAAAAAGACGTAAAATGATGAAATTCTTTGAAAAAAAGAAAAAACACACGCATATCTTCATGACATGAGATTTGGCAGTGATTTCTTGGGTATGACTCCAAAAGCACAAGTAACAAAGGAAAAAACAGATAAACTGGACTCCCTCAAAACTTAAAACTTAATCAAAGGTCATTCTGGAAAGCATAGACACTCAACTCACAGAATGGAAGATAATTTGCAAATCAGGTATCTGATAAGAGATTATGATCTCAAATAAATAGAGACCTTCTACCATCTAACAACAACGACACAAAAACTCTTCCAATTTAACAATGACCAAATAACTTCAATAGACACATCTCCAGAACAGATATAAAAGTGGCCAACAAGCATATGAAAAAAGACTCAACTTCAGAGTCATTGGGGGAAATGCAGAATCAAAACCATAGTGAAAGAGCACTTCCTCCTCACTAGGATGGCTGTTATTTTCAGATACAAAATAACAAGTGTTGTGAGGATGCAGAGATACTGCAACCCTTGAACATTGCTGTTGGGAGTGTAAAATGGTGCAGCTGCTGTGGAAAACTTTATGGCAGTTTCTGGAAAAGGTTACCATGTGATCTAGCAATACCACTTCCGTGTATACCCCCTTAATAATTGAAGAAAGAGACTCACACAGATATCTGCACAGCAGTGTTCATAGCAGCATGATTCATTATAGGCAAGAGATGGAAACAACCCCAATTTCCATCTACGGATATACATATGATGGAAGATTATTAGCCTTAAAAGTGGAGGACATTTTGACACTGGCTGTAGCATGAATGAGTCTTTAAAACATGCAAAGTGGAATAAGACAGACTCTCCCTGAGACTGTAGGTGCCAGCTGTGGGGAGAAGGTGATGGGTCAGGAGTAGGGGCTATGGACATTTGGACCGTTCCTCCTGCAGCTTTCTTGTGCCTTCAGAACCTGTGCAAGCCTGATCTCTCTGCCCAGTGAGTCCCCCCTTCCATCCTGACGCTGTTTACTCAGTTTCAGGTTGCATAAGACATGAAACCAGAAAGCACGGTGTGACTGGTGCTCTGCCCTACTTTCACTTTTGATAGCTCTGGCTGAACTTGTAACCTAACTAAAAATAGGATTTTGTTTCCTTTTCACTGCTGATTATAAAGGCAGAGATTTCTAAGAAATCCATGATGTACAGGAAAGTGATTTAGTTATTTATTGCTGAATTCTGATGCATGCTGTCTTGTTAGTATTTCAGACACAAGATAGGAAAGACACTTGTTTATTGAGGAAGCGGTTTGCAAGACACTCAGTAGATACACAATTGCCTGCCCTAAGTGAATTGGTGGGAAATAAGAATTGCTCTCTCCTTGATTTTGTTTATTTATTATTTTTTTTAAAGGGAGTCTTGCTCGATTGCCAGGTTGGAGTGCAGTGGTGTGATCTTGGCTCACTGCAACCTCTGCCTCTCGGGTTCAAGCCATTCTTCTGCTTCTGCCTCCCAAGTAGCTGGGACTACAGGCACTCGCCACCATGCCCGGCTAGTTTTTGTGTTTTTACTAGAGACGGGGTTTCACCACATTGGCTAGGGTGGTCTCTATATCTTGACCTTACGATTCACCTGCCTCGGCCTCCCAAAGTTCTGAGATTACAGGCATGAGCAACTGCACCCAGCCTATCCTTGATTTTTTCATAAAGAGGATCCTAGGACCTTCCATAGGCGTGAGAAAGTGTGTGATGGAAGGAGGATAAAGGATGGTGTGGAGGTTTCTGACCTGAGAGGGGACTTGAGTTCCCACATCCATCCTGAGTTTATTTACCCAGTGTCAGTTTGTATAGGAGATGCCACCATGAAAGGTACATGAAAGTACACAGGTTGAGCCACAACTATCTGAAAGTGAAAGGTGCTCTGCAGCACTTTCACTTTTAGATAGTTCTGGCTGAACTTGTGACCTAACTAAAGACACAAATAGATTTTCAAGAAATCCATGGTGTGGAGGAAAATAATTTTGTAATTTATTGCTGGATTCTGATGCATGCTATCTCATTAATATTTCAGACAGAAGTGATAAGAAGGACGTGTACTGAGGAAGCAGTTGGCAAGACACTCAGAGTAGACACACAATTGCCTGCCCTGGTGAACTGGCAGGAAATAAGAATCACTCCATCCCTGGCTGCTTTATGAAAACAGAACCATAGGACATCCGATAGGTGTGAGAAAGTATGTGATGGAGAGAGGAGGATAACGGATGCCATGGAGGTTTCTGGACTGAAAGAGGGGATTTGGGGCATGAATAACTGAGTGAGTAGCAGGGTGGGAGGGGCTGTTTCTGAGCTGAGCAGGGCTCAGTGGGAGTCATGGTCTATACTGAGCAGGGGTCTCATGAGGGCTCTCTTCTTTCTTTTTTTTTTTGAGATGGAGTTTTGCTCTCATTATCCAGGCTGGAGAGCAATGTCGCGATCTTGGCTCACCGCAACCTCCGCCTCCTGGGCTCAAGCAATTCTCCCACCTCAGCCTCCTCAATAGCTGGGACTACAGGCGCACGCCACCATGTCCAGCTAATTTTTGTATTTTTAGTAGAGACAGGGTTTCACCATGTTGACCAGGATGGTCTCGATCTCTTGACCTCGTGATCCACCCACCTCGGCCTCCCAAAGTGCTGGGATTATAGGCGTTAGCCACCGCGCCCGGCCGGGGCTCTCTTCTTTCTACCTGGATTCCAAAACTCACAGGTCCCTCTATTCAACCAGGAAAAGGAAGAGGGAAACTCATATGCTGTCTGCCCTGAGTTCCAGAATGTGGGATGAACCATTTCTTTTCTGGAAATGCTAAGACCCAGACTTAGCAAAGGCCAATTTCCTCATTTAAAGAGTGCTCACAGATGTGTTCCTTCCATCCTCCTTCCTGACTTAGAATGGGAAAAGTCGTGCTTCTATTGTTTGTTTTGGGGGGATTTGAGACAGAGTTTTGCTTTTGTTACCCAGGCTAGAGTACAATGGCAAAATCTTACCTCACTGCAGTCTTGGTCTCCTCAGTTCAAGCAATTCTCCTGCCTCAGCCTCCGGAGTATCTGGGATTACAGGCATGCACCATCACGCCCGGCTTATTTTGCACTTTTAGGAGAGACAGGGTTTCTCCATGTTGGTCAGGCTGGTCCTGAACTCCCGATCTCAGGCAATCTGCCCTCCTCAGCCTCCCAAAGTGCTGGGATTACAGGCGTGAGCCACCGCGCCCAGCCTAGGAAAAGTCATGTCACAGAGGAGGAGCTATAGGCTTAAATAATGGACAGGGCAGTCAGTACTCTTCTGAGTGTAAATCTTGGTCAGAGGTGGATGCAATGCAAACCATTTTACCAGAAAATACAACGTCATAACTTCATGAGAAGCATGGAGGCTGAGCTGCACAACTCCTCACCGTCACTCCAGCATTCTCACCTGTGCATTTCTCTGGTGATTCCCTGCCCCCTGGCATACCCCTTACTGTCATTTCTGCTGCATCACAGTCACAGGCCTGAAACTGAAACTGAGTCTATTTCTGTCACCACCTCCCCTCACACTTCTGGGAAATCATGCTAGGAGGGGCTTGGAAACAGAAACAAAGCCAGGGAGCAGGGCCAACATGGAACATTTAAGTGCTGCAAATCAGAGACTCACACAAAAGACCAGATACTCTTTCAAAGAGCTACACAGAGGAAGACAACAATGTCACTGCTACATGTAAGTCAAAAGGCCCAGCCTTCAATAACCTCAATTTATATAAAGCAAGAAAGAACCAGTGGTGATTTCATGAGATGAAAGTAGGAGAATTTCTATTGTGAACACGTTACTGAGAGTTGTGAAAGTGTGAAGGAGAGACCCTGTGGCTGTGGTATTTGAGATGCTGGTGGGGTGTTGGGTGTGGACCCTGGACCAGTGTAACCCTCTGTGAGTGTGTGGTGGTGTCTGATGAGAGTGAACTCTGCTGTGATGATGTGACTTTAGGTAAGAGGTGGACGGCTAACCAGGGTGGGTGGGTGTGTGCCTGAGTATAAAGGGGTGACTGTGTTTTGTCTTCATGACTGTGATATGAGTGTGTGTGTGAGCACAGCTTGACCAGTGTGTGAGCATCTTTATATGCACAGTAAGCAGATGTGTGTGACTCAGTGAGCTGCATGGCTCTGTGTGACTGTGGGTGTATATGCTGGGATGTGACTAGGTGTTGAATTAGGAGCGTGCAAGTGTCCTTCTGAGCACGTAAAAGTTTCTCCCAACATAGCAGTGCCTCTGATGAAGCAGCTAGGCACTTCCCATGTGTGTCAATGTGGATCCCGGGTGACAGAACTGGTGGGGATATTGTGGACCATGAGATATTGAGGAGTCACCTCTGAGCAGAATGCATGAATCCTCAGGTGCCTCTTTTCAAGCAGAGTTAGGGAAAAGAAACACAGACTATGGGGCTGATGGTTCCTCAGGTGGGACCTGCTCAGAAAGACCACCTACTCCTGCCTGCAGCCTCTGGTCTCTCTGTCTCCCAGCCTGTCCATCCCATTGTGGGAGAAGAGGGTGAACAGATCCTGGCTCACCAGGGAAGGCCACTGGGGGATGTGGTTTCAGGGACTGAGTCTCCCCAAATAGAGAAGAAACCAGTGTATCCTCAGTTCATACAGAACTTACAGTGCATATTAATCAACAACTTGCCAGGGTTTGTGGCTCATGCCTCTAATGCCAGTGGTTGGGGAGGCCGAGGTGGATGAATCGCTTGCGGTGAGGAGTTCCAGACCAGCCTGGGCAACATAGTGAGAGCCTGTCTCTACCAGAAATTTAAAGATTAGCCAAGCATGTTGGTGAGCACCTTCATTCAGGAGGTTTTGGCAGGAGGATCACTTCAGTCCAGGAGTTTGAGGCTACAGTGAGGTGTGACCATGCCACTGCACCCCAGGCTGGGTGACAGAGTAAGATTCTGTATCAAAAAACCCCAAACCCCAAACAGAGAAATAAAATCTCCCAATATTTAGATTACCTCCCATCGCTTCCCTGGCCCACACACTTCATGTGTGCAAGTCCCGGGGCTGTGCTGTTACCAACGTGGCCCCTTCTGGGAAGGACATCCATTGCCCTCAATAACTGTGATGCATGTGCATCCCACACGCAGGGTTTCCTGTTCTTTCATTTTCTTCTCTCTTTCAACAACTGTTTTTCTTACTGGATCGAATCTCCTTACTGTTACATCTTCACATCTTGTTTTCACAGTCTCAGGGTTGAAAATGATCACAGGTCAGTGTTCCAAAAGGAACCTCCCTGTTCTACTGGGTAACTCCCAACAGGCCCCATACATGGCAGAGATTAGGATAAAACTGTCACATATATTAATTTATTGATTACTGGGAAAACCCTACAAAGCAGAAATCTTTACTTATTCTTCTGATCCTGGGGAAATTGAGGTAGGGAGCATTCAAGTAATGGATGTACGATGGAACTGCTAGTAAGAGGCAGAATGAGGACCAGAATCCAGGCAGCCTGGCTCCTGAACCCTTGCTCTTACCTATGGGTCCCGCATTTCTTCAGGAATATGATGACCTGACTGTGCCAGCGTGGGTGGGAGGCCTAAGTTTTCTCTTTGACTTCTAACCTCCTGCACCATGACGATCTGTTACAGGAGGGGATGCCACACCTGGTTCTGCCCCTCTCATCCACTGTAAATTTCTTGGCAGGTGCCATACACACAGTCTGTGTCATTGTCTGTTGGTTCTTGTGTGACGATCAAAGCGAAACCGATCATCTCTTTCATGTGAGTTCTCCATGGTCCATGGCAGGGGGTGGAGGAGAAGGGAGAATATTTGCTAAAGGGCTGACCTCGTGTGAGTGATGCGGAAATGTCTAGCTGGCAGGATGGAGGCACCGTGCAGGTGCAGGTCCTGGAGACCCTGCAGCGCCTGGCATGAGACCTGCAGTGGCTGCACTGTGGGCCAGTCATGGGGCCTAGGGGAGGACACTCCGGGCATTGGGACTGTGGCTCTTTATCAACAGACATAGACGTTTCATGAAATTGACAACTCATAGGCCCAGGTTAGTGCCTGTGGCTGAGTTTACATCTTGGGATGAGGGAGCTCTTAAGAGCAGGAGGAGCTGAAGCAGCTCTGCAGGGAGGAGGCCTGCAGTGTCGGCAGGAAGTCCTGTCTGCCCTGGGAAAGCGGGGAAGGGATTTGTGTGTGTGTCCAGTGTGTGCCCCACAAGGGAAGGACCTGCCCAACACCCTGTGTGCTTTAACCTCAGCAAGGATCCGCAGCTGCAGGTGGATTTCCACACTGAGACGAATGAGCACTCAGACATTGCCTTCCATTTCCGAGTGTACTTTGGCCAACGGGTGGTCATGAACAGTCGTGTGCGTGGGGCCTGGCAGCATGAGGTGACATGCCACAATATGCCCTTTGAGGATGGCAAACCGTTTGACCTGTGCATCTCCCTGCAGGACAATGAGTACCAGGTGAGCACCCCAGGAGCTCCCAGCACCCGGCCTCCATGGCTCCCAGAGCAGTAGGCAGCTCTTTTTGAGCTGGTCCCATCAGTGCCTTGGGGCCCACCTCCCATAACTGCTCCTGCCCCAGGCTTTTCCTCACAGAGCACCCTCTGCTTGCACTGCCACCCTCAGCTCTTATTCCAAATCTGACCAGGGTCAAGGCTGGCTCACCTGCCATGTTCCCCAACGTGGTGAATCTTATCTGTCTTCACCCATAGTTCTCATTTTCACTTATGGTCTTGCTTACATTTTCATTTGGCCAAATGGATAAAATAGGCATATGAATAAGGCTGTTTCATCATCCACAATTGAGTCTCTCAGTCCTGAACCCCAATCCCACCTGCAGAACAACAGTATTAGTGGTTTCTCTACACAAATTCCTGAGACAATCTATGCTTATGGACCCATATAGATCTGTGGTTTCATTTCTTTTTAAACCAATGCTGTTTTAAGTTTCTCTGCACACTACACTTTAGAAACCGGGGTGGATTTGTTGTCAAATAATATATATTGGAGCAATCATCCATTTGTGGTGCTGGCCCAGTTTTTCAACATTGTACAATATTCCTGTAGAAGAGTTACCCAGAATTATTCAACTTGATGCTTTTGATGAGCATTACGCTATTTTCAGTATTTTGGTCTCACAAATGAATCTTTCTAATGTACTTTTTGTCATAATAAACCTCCCAATTTCTACATTGGAGGATAGTTACAAAGAAATAAAATAGGTCAAAATTGTGTCATTTTAAATTTTATAAAGTTTTTTTTTTTTTTTTTGGAGACAGAGTTTCGCTCTTGTTACCCAGGCTGCAATGGCGCGATCTCGGCTCACCGCAACCTCCGCCTCCTGGGTTCAGGCAATTCTCCTGCCTCAGCCTCCTGAGTGGCTGGGATTACAGGCACGCACCACCATGCCCAGCTAATTTTTTGTATTTTTTTTTAGTAGAGACGGGGTTTCACCATGTTGACCAGGATGGTCTCGATCTCTTGACCTCGTGATCCACCCGCCTCGGTCTCCCAAAGTGCTGGGATTATAGGCGTGAGCCACCGTAAATTTTATAAATTAACACCTAAAAGGTGACTGTCTCTATAGTTTTAGTAATAAATAAATATTTTCAACCTCCCCAACCTTTTCAAATGGATAGACCCAAAGATTAACATTTTGTTAATATTTAAGTGAGATAACTTTTTCACATGCCTATCAGCTGTTCAGAATAATACCCTGTGTTTGGCAACACCTGTTTTGTTCCTCCTCTCTGAAGACATTTGGATTTTATTCTTTGCCACCATCATCACAGCTCTGGGTAACTCCAAAGAGAAACTGGGCCATCAGCAGTCATAGGGAATGGGAGTTATAGTTTGTGGAACTGAAATGCATGCACTCAATGAACATGGTCCAGCACTAACCCCATGGCAGGCCCTGTGCAAAATGCAGGGATTGACGTTCATGAGAGACAGTCCCTTGCCATGGGGATCTTCCAGGTGAGAGGAGAGGCTGAGCAAACAGGTTCTGTGATACACAGAGTGGAAAACCCTCCCTGGAAAAATGAGAGAAAACATTGGAAATAAAATGAGCAACTGTCTGAAATAGGCACAAAGGCAGTCTGCAGACAGAAGTGTGTCTACTGGGTTCTGATGTATAATTAGGAGTTTTCTGGTTAGATGCTGTAGGCACTAGGGCTGAGTGGAGATGAGTTCATTTACTGGCATGCTGTATTTTTAATGCGTTTTTCCTCTTGTAGGTACTGGTAAATGGCAAACACAGTTACAGCTTTCCTCATCGATTCCCACCATATTATGTGAAGATGGTGCAAGTATGGCGGGATATCTCCCTGACTTCCATCTGTGTCTGCAATTCAGGGTGATGTACACACTCCTTGTTGTTGGGGAACAACAGAAACTCCTCATTTCTTTGTGACCATGGAATTCCCAGAGCCTGCAAACAGAATGATCTCTCCTTATGCCTTCCCCTACCCTTGGTCATTAAAACTTCACCAAATTTTTCATCATCTGGTTTTTATTTCAATGGGGAAAAAGACAAAGTGGCACAAGGCCACAAGAGACATAATCAGTGTCACAAGGCCACTGGAGTGTCTGAGATGACAAAACGAACATCTTCTACCACCCATAATTTATATCAGACACTATAAACCAAAATTCTTCCTTCATCTTAGATGACTCATTGCAGTGACGTGTTAGGTATCTGTTTACAACAACACAGGCATAATTGGTTTTAGGGAGAAACTTCATAATTTGAGAAACTTCAAGTGAAATATCTTAATTCTTCACTCATTCTAAGAATATTTCTTGTGTCTCAAAGCTGCTTGGATTTGTGTGGGATGCACTGAAGGAATTAAAAGAAAAAGTTGAGAAAGTTTACATCGGAAGTTGGGCCCTTACCATAATCCCCATACAAAACTTAACTCAAAATATTTCACACAATAAATGTAAGATCTATAACTTTCATATTTTTAGAAAAACCATAGAAGAACCATAGAAGAATATTACATGACATGGGATCTTGAAATGATTTCTTGAATACGACACCAAAAGCACAAGAAACGAAACAACAGATAATATGAATTTCATCAAAATTTAAATCTTTGGATAGGCTTTGCAAGATGGCAGAATAAAGGGCTTCACCAATCTCACCCACATCCCTGAAGGATGTGAATTTAACATGTATCTATGCAGGAAAACACCTCCATATGAATCAAAAACTAGCTGAGTCCTCAGAGATACCTGGTTTTAACTCTATATCACTGAAAGAGGCACTGAAGAGATAGGAAAAACAGTCTTGAATTGCCAATGCCACTCCTTCATCTGGACAGCAGTGGTGTGGTGCAGAGTCTCTGGGTACTGAGGGAGGGAGAGCACAGCAATTGTGAGGCATTGGAGTCACTGCTGTCCTGTTAGAGAGGAAGAGAAAATTAGATCAAGCTCAGCTGACACACACCAATGAAGGGAGCATTTAAGCCAGCCCTAGCCAGAGGAAGGAAGATCCCTGATCTTAGCGATTGGAAGTTGACTTCCTGCAAACCTTACCAGTAAGGGCTGCTGTGGGTTTCCAAGTAGCCTTGAAAGGCAGTCGAGGCCATAAGGACAGAATCTCTTAGGTGAGTCTTGGGGATGAACTCAGGCCAGAGACAATGGACTGGGCAAGAGGGTGTCTGGTGACCTGCTGAGACGGCAGCTTGGGTGACTAATGGAGTGCTGGCAGTACCTCTCCCCTAACTCCAGGATGCACAGCCTGTGGCTCCAAAAGAGACCCCTTCCTTTCACTTGAGGAGCAGAGAGGAGAGAGGAGAGTGGGGAAGACTTTATTTTACATCTTGGATATCAGCTCAGCCACAGCAGGATAGCGTGCCAGTCAGAGTCATGAGGCCCCCATTCCAGGCCCTAGTTCCCACATGATCTTTCTAGACACAGCCTGGACCAGAAGGGAACGTGCTGCTTTGAAGGGAAGGATCCATTCCTGGAAGCATTTATCACCTGCTAATGAAGAGCCCTTTGGCTCTGAATAGCCACCAGCAATACCCAGGTACTATGCTGAGGGCCTTGGATGAGTCTCTGAGATCTGCTGGCTTCTGATGTGACTCAGCACATTACCAGCTGTGGTGGCTATGAGGCAAAACTCTTTCTCCTTGGTAAAAGTAGAGAAAAAGCTAAAAGGGACTCTGCCTTGCACCTTAGGTACCAGCATGGCCAGAAGGGAGTAGAGCACCAGGCAGGCTCTTGGGGTTCCTAATGACATCTATTTACCTGCTCTGGGCCAGAGGGGAGTTCACTCCCCTGTGGGGTGAGTCCAAGGCCAGGCAGCATTCACTGTAAGTTGACTTAAGTGCCCTTGGGCCTTAAGGGAACATCTGTGGTAGTCTGGTAGTACTCTCTATGGTGGTGGTGGCTATGGGGTGACCACTGCCTTTGGAAATGAGGGGGGAGAGTAGAAAGGACTGAATCTTGGGGTTTGAGTATATAATAAAACACCACGAAGACCTCTAAGGTTTTTTACTTTAGTCCTTGACTTCCAGGTGGCACCTCTGGACCCACCCCAGGCCTGGGGGAACTCACCACCCTGAAGGGAAGCACACAGAAGTGGCTGGCTTTGCTGTATGCTGCTTCTAGAGCCTTAGGGCTGTGTGTCTTGAGTAAACCTAGGCTGTAACCAGGTATTGTTTACAGCAGGCAGTGCTATGCTTGCTTTAGGTAAGATCCAGTCATGGTGGTGGTGGCCACAATGGTGCTTGTGTCACTCCATCCCCAGCTTTAGGTGTCTCAGAAGACACACACACACACACACACACACACACACACACACACACACACACGCTGTATGTTTGGGAGAAAGAAAGGGAAAAGAAAAAGAAGCTCTGCCTTGTAATCCAGAGAATTTTCCTATTAGATCACAACACTTGAGTCCTTTTGAATACCTGAAAGTCTTCCCCAAAAGGACAGGTACAAAGAAGCCCAGACAGTGAAGACCACAATAAATACCTAACTATTTAATTCTCAGACACTGAAGGACATCTGCTAGTGTCAACAACATCCAGTAAAGCATATACACTAAGTAACACTGCACCAGGGAGAAACAGAGATAAGTGACCTTTCAGACCGAAAATTTAAATTAGTGATGTTAAGAAAACTCAAAGAAATTTAAGATAACACAGAGAAGGAATTCAGAATTTTATTAGATAAGTTTAACAAAGAGGTTGAAATAATTAAAAGGAATCCAATAGAAATTCGGGAGCTGCAAAATGCAGCTATAAAAAGGAATGAGATCATGTCCTTTGCAGGGACATGGATAGAGCTGAAAGACATTATTCTCAGCAAACTAGTACAGGAACAGAAAACCAAACAATGCATGTTCTCATTCCTAAGTGGGAGCTGAACAGTGAGAACACATAGACGCAGGGAGGGGAACAACACACACTGTGGCCTGTTGGAAGGGCAAAGGGAAGGGGAGCATCAGGACAAATAGCTAATGCATGTGGGGCTTAATACCTAGGTGACAGGTTGATAGGTGCAGCAAACCACTATGGCACATGTTTACCTATGTAACAAATGAGCACATTCTGCACACGTATCTCAGAACTTAAAGTAAAACAAAATAAAAAAAATGCAATTGGCATACTGAAGAATGCATCAGTAAAACAAAATTAAAAAATGCAATTGGCATACTGAAGAATGCATCAGTCTTTAACAGCAGAACTGATCAGGCTGAAGAAAATATTACTGAGCTTGAAGACAGGCTATTTGAAAATACACAGCCAGAGGAGACAAAAGAAGAACGGATAAAAAAACAACAAAGCAACAAAACATGACTATAGGATCTAGAAAACAACTTCCAAAGCACAAACCTAAGAATTATTGTCCTTAAGGAAGAAGTAGAGAAAGAAATAGTGGTACTCAAAGGGATAACAGAAAACTTCCCAAACTAACAAAAGGAGATCAACATCCAAGCACAAGCAGGTTATAGAACACCAGGCTGACTGAAACCGAAGAAGACTACCTCAAGCCATTTAGTAATCAAAATTTTAAAGGTCAAGGGCAAAGAAAAGATCCTAAAAGCCCGAGAGAAAAAAAAATAGCACACAATGCACCTGCAATACATCTGTCAGCAGACTTTTTAGTGGAAACACACAGAATATTGCAACACTGTAACTGTGGTGTGTGAACTACTCATATCCTAAATAGAAAGATGAAACAATGAACCAATACAAATAATAAATACAACTTTTGAAGATATAGACAGCACGATAAGATATAAGTAGAAACAAAAAGTTAAACATCAGGGGGAATGAAGTTAAGTTGTAGAGTTTCTATGAGTTTTCCTTTTGCTTGTTTGTTTACGTAAGCAGTGCCAAGTAGTTATCTGGTTAAAATAATGAGTTATAAGATAGTATTTGCAAGCCTTATGGTCACCTTGAACCACAAAATATATAATAGATGCACAAAAATAAAAAACAAGAAACTAAACTATATCACCAGATGAAATCATCTTTAGTAAGGGAAGATAGGAAGGAACAAAAGAAGAGAAGACCAAAATACAACCAGACATCAAATAACAAAATAGCAGGACTAAGTCTTTACTTACTTACTTATTAATGATAACATTAAATGTAAATGAACTAGACTCTCCAATCAAAATACATAGAGTGTCTGAATGGATGAAGAAACAAGAGCAATTGATCTGTTGCCTACAAGAAACACACTTCACCTATAAAAGCACACATAGACTGAAAAGAAAATAGAAAAAGATATTGCATGCCACTGGAAATGAAACAAGAACAGGAGTAGCTATACTTATATTGGACAAAAATACATTTTGAGAGAAAAACTCAGACAATAAGATTAATATATAACGATAAAGGCATCAATTCAGCAAGAGGATATAATAATGTATGTGCACCCAACACTGGAGCACCCAGGTATATAAAGTATTATTAGAGCTAAAGAGAGAAACAGGCCTTAATACAATAATAACTACAGATTTCTACATTTCACTTTCAGCATTGGACAGATCTTCCAGACAGAACATAAACAAAGAAACTTAATCCATTCAAGAAAGGGCAATCACTGTGTGTTTGTCTAAGAGGGCCAACACGTGGGACTATGCAAATTATTCAAATGCAGTAGCCACCACCCAAGGGAAAAGTCTATATGAAATTAAAGTCATTTACTGCTCAGTAAGCCATGGGTTCAAGGATTCTTTTCATCCACTCAGAGCAAGAATTGCTTAATTCCACAAAAAATGAATTCCATACAGGTGATGAGGCCTATGATCTATTATCAAAATAGAGAAGTGAACAACACTGAGACCAGAAAGGTGTAAGAAGGAGAGTGTATTTAAACCAAACCCAAGACTGTCCAGTGAGAGGAGGGAATTTGATTACATATGGGAATGAAACATGGAAGAAAGGCATGAAGAGTAGAACTTACTGTGTGTTGGCACCTGAAGGTATCCAGATGTTTGGTTAAATGAGAGTAAGGAAAGGGGCATACCCATGAG